TCAAAGAAAGGATAATTTGCTAAAATCCAACAATGAGTACTAGCAATGTCAGACCAGAAACAGATTCTTACCCCTCCAAGTCCAGACTTCTCATTCTTTCACGAGACAGGCTTTCTTCTGGTGAGGACTACCTGATGCTAGTCCATTTTGCCAGGATATTTGGTAGACTACTTAGAAATTTCATAAAATAAAGGCTGATGGGCGGGGCGTGGTGGCTCACACCTGTAATCCCACCACTTTGGGAGGCTGAGGCAGGCAGATGATGAGGTCAAGAGATCGAGACTATCCTGGCCAACATGCTGAAACCCCATTTCTACTAAAAATACAAAAATTAGCTGGGCATGGTGGTGCGCATCTCTAGTCCCAGCTACTCGGGAGGCTGAGGCAGGAGAATCGCTTGAACCTGGGAGGTAGAGGTTGCAGTGAGCCAAGATCACGCCACTGCACTCCAGCCTGGCAACAGAGCAAGACTCCATCTCAAATATAAATAAATAAATAAATAAATAAATAAATAAATAAATAAATAAATAAAGACTGATGTTAAAACACAAATGTAGATCTTTTCTTGTTCAATCTTACAGCTTGTTTCTTAACCTTTGACTCCCTCAGAACAAATTCCACTGACAATCACCAGAATCTAAAACAAAAGCTGAGTGGCAGAATATAAACTAACAGAATCTCTACAGAGGATCATTTGTAACAGATATCAAAATTACAATGTTCATACTCCTCAATCCCACAATCCCATCCTAGATATAGTTGCACTTATGCAAAAATATGCATGCCTAAGACTAATCATTTTGATGTTATTCATAACAGCAAAAGATTGGAAACAATCTAGATAACCAGATAACCATCAATCAGAGACTAGTTTTTTTCTTTGTTTGTTTGTTTGTTTTTGAGACAGAGTCTCACTCTGTCACCAGGCTGGAGTGCAGTGGTGCGATCTCAGCTCCCTGCAACCTCTGCCTCTCAGGTTCAAGCGATTCTCCTGCCTCAACCTCCCAAGTAGCTGGGACTACAGGCACATGCCACCACACCTGGCTAATTTTTGTATTTTTAGTAGAGACAGGGTTTTATCATTTTGGCCAGGATGGTCTGCATCTCTTGGTCTCGATCTCTTGACCTCATGATCTGCCGCCTTGACCTCCCAAAGTACTGGGATTGCAGGCGTGAGCCACCGCGCCTGGCCGTTTTTTTTGTTTGTTTGTTTTGTTTTGTTTAAAAAAGAGGATGATGCAATAAAATACTATGTAGCTCTTGAGAAAAAAGAAGTTAATCTAGATTTACTGATACAGAACAATTTCCAATACATCATTTCATGAAAAAGCAAAATGCAAACCATATACAGTATGCTTCTCTTTGTGAAGGAAAGGGATATATAACCAAATATCCTACAATTATACATACACACAGAGAGAGTGGATATTTGTATATGCATAGAATTTGTCTGGAAGGACGGGAGATGGTGGCTCACACCTGTAATCCCAGCACTTTGGGAGGCCAAGGTGAGCAGATCACCTGAGGTCGGGAGTTCAAGATCAGCCTGGCCAACATGGCAAAACCCCATCTCTACTAAAAATACAAAAATTAGCCAGGCATGGTGGCATGTGCCTGTAGTCCCAGCTACTTGGGAGACTGAGGCAGGAGAATCACTTGAACCTGGGAGGCAGAGGTTACAGTGAACCAACATTGTGCCACTGCACTCCAGCCTGGGCAACAGAGTGAGACTCCGTCTCAAAAAAAGAAAAAAAAGAGAATTTGTCCAGAAGGATATACAATAAAGAGCAACTGTCTCTGAGGAAGGGACATGAGGGACTCAGGAATGGGAATTGGGCGGGGGGCGGATTTGTATTTGGTGTCCTATTGTTTCTTTAAAATTTGTACTATGTGCACAAATTATCTCTTCAAAAACTAGTTAAATTAGTGCCTGAAAGAGGACCCCATGATGCTGCCAGTATTGTATCATATCTACAATAATAAGCAACACACTATTGCTATCATTTTTGCTAAAGCTTTTGTTGAAATCGTGCATATCAAACTTAGAGACAAAGGAAATTAAACGTAGTTAAATTAGACTTTAAAAACCAAGTCTCTCCCCCTCCCTGCTCTGCTGTAGACAAAAGGAAAAACCTGAAAAGTTTTCAAAACCTGAATAATCCATTGCTTGTTTAGTCATTGGCACAGCTGCGTGATACAATGGAGAAAACGAGAAACGTTCCCAACTCTTCCTTTGGAAATTTGCTAGTATCATCTCCAAAGTATCCTTCAGACGTTATCCACTTACGTTTTTACAGTGCATCTACCAGCAGAGTTCCTAAGCACTTTAACAAGAGCTGTATCTTGAACCAAAAGCATGAAGGGGGATACAAACCTCAATATTGCCCTAGTTTTGCAAAACATTTGCCTCAGATGACAGCAGAAAAGGAAGCTTAGTCCTTCTGATTCCTAGCTAGGAAAGACAGGAAATGTGTTTCTCCCACATATTTTCTTTGTTGCTTCAATTCCACACATTCTATAGTTATGCAACCCTCATGTGGTGGATCAAAGATGGTTACAAATTCTTTGACACTCCTCTCCTATGGAGAAGGGATCTGTTTCCATTAGTCTTGATTCTGGGCTGTCCTGTGACTACTTTGACCAATGGAGTATCACAGAATTCGTGCTATGCCAATTCCAACCCTAGTCTCTAAAATAACCAGCAGAGTTCTGAGTGAACCGCTATGTGAGAGTCCAACTGGCCTTCTAAAGAGAACATGTAGAGATACTCTAAGACTACATCAAGAGGGAGAAGGGCCCAAAGCCTGTCAGCCATTTCTGTCAAGACAGTAGGCATGTGAGGGAAGCCATCTTGGATGCTTCAGCTCACACCAGACAGTTAAGTGACTCCAGTCAATGCCATGTGCAGCAGAAGAATCACCCAACCAAGCACTGACCAAATTCCTGACCAAGGACCTTGTGAGATAATTAAAATGTGGTTTTAAGACACTAAGTTTTTGGGTAGTATGCTATGCTGCAGTACATAACCAAGACACCACACTATCAAAACTTAAACATTAGCGGCCGGGCGCAGTGGCTCAAGCCTGTAATCCCAGCACTTTGGGAGGCCGAGATGGGCAGATCACGAGGTCAGGAGATCGGGACCATCCTGGCTAACACGGTGAAACCCCCTCTCTACTAAAAAATACAAAAAACAAGCCAGGTGAGGTGGCGGGCGTCTGTAGTCCCAGCTACTTGGGAGGCCAAGGCAGGAGAATGGCGTAAACCCGGGAGGCAGAGCTTGCAGTGAGCTGAGATCCGGCCACTGCACTCCAGCCTGGGCAACAGAGTGAGACTCCGTCCCAAAAAAAAAAAAAAAAAAAATTAAACACTAGCATCTGCAAAACCTTTTTTACTCAAAATTCAATCTTTCCTGAATTACCTTAGATTATTGATAGAACAATCTCATGCCAGGCAGCCACAGCTACTCAGAGAAGGGGCCAGTTTTAAGTTAAGACAACAGAAGAATTTTCTAGCACCTCCTTTCCAGCCAGAGATAAGTCTCCATTGGCCAGAACTGCCAGACAGAACTCCAGAGATCATGGTCAGGGAGTCTGGAGTTTCTCAGCTCACACAGGACCAACATTTCTCAGGGTGTCGTTTGACCAGCCCGAACCACTCCAGTACTCTGCCCACGTCCACCAACACCATGTCCACCACCTCATAGGTGTCACATGTGATTGTTCCTGGAGGTAGGTTAAGAACCAGACCCTCAGCCAGGGGAGGTAGCTCATGCCTGTAATCCCAGGACTTTGGGAGGCCAAGGCAGGCAGATCACTTGAGGTCAGGAGTTTGAAGTCAGCCTGGCCAACATGGTGAAACCCCATCTCTACTAAAAATACAAAAAATTAGCCAGGCATGGTGGCCTGCACCTGTAATCTCAGTACTTGGGAGGTTGAGGCAAGAGAATAGCTTGAACCCAGGAGGTGGAGGTTGCAATGAGCCGAGATCAAGCCACTGCACTCTAGCCTGGGTTACACTCTAGCCTGGGTTACACTGCACTCTAGCCTGGTTACACTGCACTCTAGCCTGGTTACTGTCTCAAAAAAAAAAAAAAAAAAAGAACCAGACCCTCTACTCCAGCCCTTGCCCTTTCAGGCTGGGCTGAGAGAAGGAGGGCTAAGTCTTGGAAGGAGAGATTCCTGGATTAACTTCCTCAGCCCACAACGACTGGCAGTTGCCACCCACTCCAGCCATGTGCCTGTTCTCACCCACCCACAGGGTTGCCAAGGCCTGAGGGAGGTGGCACTGGCAGAAACCATAATTAGGGATTTCATCATATACTTTAGCTAGAATTGAGAACAAATTCTTCCTTACAACATGCAAATCTATTGTTCGACTTTCAAATATCCAACTAACTTTCAAACACATTTTTGGGAACCCATTAGATACGTAAGTAAGATACTACCTCTTCTGAACTGTAGACATGGCCTTGAAATTCAGACAAGAGCATTTCCAGGGTTGACACAATAATGGAAGATTCAAAAAACACATGATGAAAGAGAACAAGGAGGTCAGCAAACATGGTCCAGCAAGGTCCAGGTTGCGCCAAGGCAAGCATAGACCCAGAAGCTATGAGGGAAGGAAAAGGGGAAGTACAAAGAGGGTCTTCATCCCTCCTGTGTCCCTGGCTTCAAAGGAGTGAATTCCAATTCAATTTCATAAAAGACTTTTCACCATTGCCTATATAGACAAATTAAAGCAGCAAGTTGACCATCTGAATAATCTATTGTGATAGATCAATGTCTGGATATTACTGGGGGAGAAAAGTGTTTGAGCTTTGAGCTTTTTCAAATTTTAGGATTTTCCCAAATTATCTCAATGATTTTTTCAACCCTTCACTTCAGACAAAATATTTAAGGAAATGCTATTTCCATAGGATTCTTGGGTCATATCTATACAGCCACAGCCAAGGGAGGGGCACAGGAGGGAAGAAGGAGGGGTAGAGTCACCCAGATTACCTGTCTGGTTGCTTAGACTGGTCCAATTTCACTAAGAATCACACAAACCTCTTCATTCCTTCTGCTTTGTTCACCTGACCTTTTTCAATTTCTTTTTCCTTTCTCCATTACCCTAAGGGAGTAATCTAGCCACTCTGGCTTTCTTTGCATGCAAAATGTAACAGTTCCTTCTTTCTTCTTTCAGATAAAGGCAGTCTTGGGGAGGGGAAGAGAAAAGCGCCTGGCTTCTTCAAATTAGCTCTGAAATAAAAGTCACTGCCAGATGTTATATAAAAGGTGACGTAATCCTAAAGTACTTCATTACATATGCAGCTCTGCTCTTCAGCCCAGGAGGAGTTTATTACATTTTGTCGATCCCATTTTCTATACCCACATCATTTTTACATAATTTTTCCTGCCTGACAGACATCTTCACATTTTCACAGCAACCCATCAAGATAGCATTACAACAGCACAGGGAACCAGGTTAGCAGTTTACAAATAACGGTGCTAATAAGTCAGATTTGTCCCTGAGATACAAATCAGGAGTAAATGGTCTATCCATGTGTGTGAGAAGCACATCAATTTTGGAATAATAGGGAAGAAAGCAGAGCACCGTTTCCACTGGCACCGTGTTCTTTCAGAACATGTACCAAACCTATTCGACAAGTAGGAAAATGGGGAATTGTCAATCTAGAGTTATTCTTGCAATTCTTTTCGTTTTCCTAATAAATTCTTGGCTCATAGTGAAATAGATGGCCATGGCAAATGCATTAAGATCAAACTTCCTGCCTTTTTGTATTGCACAAAATTTAGAAGAAAATACACCATTTGTACCAATGAAGTATCTAGCTACTGAGATGCTTTAAGTGCAAACACTGAGAGACACTTCCTCCCACTTGCCAGGTGCTAAGCATCCTTCCCTGTCTCCCTGGGCACTCATGGCCCCACTGCCCCCTGATGGTAAAAAGCAGCAGTGCAGGCTGGACCATTCTTCAAGGAGGATTGACAGACTGGAGTGGATGGTTCAAAGGCATTTGCCTTAAAGGTCAGTGTGAGAGGCCAAAGACACTGAGCTTTTAGTTACTATTCAGAAACAAACTTATGCAACTCAGAATTCCAGTGGGATAAGAAAATGTCTGTGAGTCCCACCCCAGGGAAACATACATAGAAGGAAATTTCATCTTTAGAACCTCCTTCAGATCTTAAGGAAAGATCCCTGTAAAAATGAACTCTATGTTTTTAAAAAGTAATTACAAACTTGGAGTAATGGAGGTTCTATTCTTTTGTAAGAGTGGGACTTGAATATAGGAGAAGGGGAGATATAAAGGCTTCATGGAGGAATTTTGACCCCCTCCCTTCCACCCCCACCCCCCACTGCCCAGAAAACAGAGGTACTAGCAACTAGCCCCAAAATAAATGTATCTAGTGTCATACTTTTATCTAAAGTCATTACATTCTGTAGTTCTACAAGTAGTTTGTTTCACAGGTTCAAATTTTCTTCTCCTCTTTAAAGCAGTTTTTCTTTATATCAAAGTAATTCATGCACATAGTATAAAGAGTCAAACTGTCCTACAGCAGTCCAAGCAGTCCCTACCTCCTGTTTCCTGCTCCAGAAGGCAGATACTTCCAGCTCTTTTAACTGAACCAGTTACTTTTTACCTCTATATCTCTAAATGTCATGTTCATGTTGCTGCCTCTTGATTTTTTAGTTTAAGCTTCATATATTGACTTTGCACTATGGAAGATGACTTCATAAGTACCCCCACACACATGCACAACCCCACCACACATATATACTTCCCAGTATACTATAATTTTGGTAAGAGCAATAATCAATATTTATGGAACTATATTAAATTATTGACCACAAAGCCATGCAGTATATCCTGTTCACCTTTCCTTTCCTGAACAAGTTTATCTTTTCCCTGGAATTTAAAAAAAAAAAGAAAAAGAAACAGTCTTTTCTTCACATGCTACTTTTTTGTTGTTGTTTGTTTGTTTGATTGTTTTGAGACAGAGTCTCGCTCTGTTGCCCAGGCTGGAGTGCAGTGGCATGATCATGGCTAACTGCAGCCTCAACTTCTTGGGCTCAAGCCATCCTCCTCCCACCTCAGCCTCCCAAGTAGCTAGGAGTACAGGTACATGCCACCACTTTCAGCCAATTTTTTTTTTTTTTTTTTTTTTTTTGGAGAGACAGGGTCTCACTATGTTGCCCAGGCTGGTCTCAAACTCCTGGCCTCAAGCAATCCTCCCTCCTCAGCCTCCCAAAGTGCTGGGTTTACAGTTGTGAGCCACTGCGCCTGGCCTATGTGGCCTTTTTTCCATGTGTGTGTCTGTCTTCACATGGCATCTCTGCTCTACGTGTCTCTGTCTCTGTGTCTCTTCTCTCGTTATAAAGACACCAGTCATTTGGATTAAGGGCCTACTCTACTCTTGCATGACATCATTTTTAACTGACTTCGTAATTATGTCTACAAAGACCCTATTTCCAATAAGTCACGTTCCCAGGTACCCAGAGTCAGGACTTGAACATATCTTTCGTTGGAGGTGGCAGGAGAGCACAATTCAGCCCACGTTGATCTTCACTAATTTATCCCCAACTCTGCCCAATTGCCTAAGTCTCCTCTGAGTATATTCAAACATTATCTGTTTTCTGTCAATCAGGTTTCATCTTCTGTGTCAGTTCACTCTCAAGTGGGCTTTCTCTTTATAACTGGCTACAACTACAGCACATATCCTTTCAGGTTCAAGTGGAACAACAGGACATGTTTCTCCCTCAGTAGTCTCATTGGCTCCCCAGGATCACACGCCAATCTCCAACCAGTCACTACAGGCAGGAGAAAACCGCACGCACATGACTTAAGCGCGGGTTATATGCTCCCTAGATAGAGCTGGGCATAAGACCAGCTTTATTTGAGTAAATGTCCTGAGCCTGGAGAAGAGAGGATTCCATAAAGGGTGGATGGATGGATACTGAACACCAAAACTAAATTAGCATCCACTACTGCAGCCTGTTAGAAAACACTTTAAGAGGGGTCATGTTCTCCCCAAGACTGGAACACAGATTTTGTCCTTCCAGAGAATTTCATAATAATCTCTTCCTTCCGGGAAGTTACAGGAAGCAAAAAAGATATTGAACAAAAATTACATTCAGATCTACATTTTCTCCTTTTTCTGCTTTTATAGAGATTAATCTGGTAATATCTGAGGGAGAAAGTACATGTCACTTTAGTACATTTTTACATCCTAAAATGTTTGGAGAGAAGGTACTTATTATCCCAAATACAAAATGTCATACACACGGAGGGAAATATCCTCTGGTCAAATCCCCGTGATATCAAATAGAAAGACGCAGAAAATAAAAAATTCCAGCCAGGCGAGCAATAACCATCCTGTTCATAAAAACACTCTCCTGCTGAGATGCCACAAGAAGTTTTCTTCAAATGAGCTTTCACACTGCAATCTAGTTGTCCAACATCATCTCTTGCCATCTGTGAAGAGTTTGGGAAACAATGGCCTCATTCCCGTCTCCACCTGACAGCATCTGCCTCTGTGAAGGAGTTCGGAAATGGTGAACTTTGAGTTTTCTTTCCATCCGTTTTCCTATGTTTTTTTTTTCTGCTTTTGACCCAATTTTTTACATTTTTGAACTACAGATCACAAACTTTAAACAGTCACCTTATTCACTGGAACAGATTGCTTGAATCTAAGAAAAATTAACCATCTTTTCCTGTCAGAACACTTCGATCAAAGCAAAACAAAGAACATAAGAGCGAAGATGACAAAATCGAAAAGAAAAATAGGGGAAAATGGGAGAGGATGGAGTCAGAAGGAAGCTAGGAAAAGAGAAAGCCAGAGAAACCAAGAAATTAAAAAAAAAAAAAAGTGGATATGACTCAGAACCATTTAAAATAAAATTTTTAAAAGTGGAGGGAATACAAAAAGATGGGAAAAGCCCTAACCTAGGCTTAAGGACCTGCACGGTGGCCAATCGCTCCACCCCAACCCTGTATACCTGTCTGGGTGGCCTCTCTGGGCCTCAGTCTTCCCCCACTGGGTGGAGTGACCCAACACATCTCCTGAGCCCCTCCCGTTCCAAGACACGTGATCTTGAGTCCTCCACAAGGGCTATGGGAGAGGTGGGAGCCACCCACTCAGTTAACACTCACATGGCGAGTGCCTAACCGGGAGGGCCACCACCTGTGTGGGGATGACGATCGAGCAGCCCGTTGTAGGGGCTGGCTTTCACGCTGTCTTTGCCGACAGAGCTGTCTTCTGCTCTCTGAGATCAGAGGGAGATCTAAGTGCTGGACGTAAAGCTGCCAAACCAGCAGGCCCAAGGGAAGCACTCTAAGCAGAGTATTTCCTAAAAACGCCGCATTGGAAATGACGAATCTTGACATCCCATTCCCAGAACCCATCACCTCGCCTCCCCTGGGGTTTTAACAGTTTGAAAAACAGTGAGCTGCCTATTCCAGGTGATGGTAGCAACAGGGCCTAATTCCCAGACCAATGCCCTCAACCAAATACACCAAAGCAGAGATACAAGCTCTTCTACAATTTATTCTCTCTTCTATTTGCTGTGTTCCTGTATGTAAGCTCCTGAAATTTTATAAAGTATTAAGTATTGAGAAATTGGGGCCAGCAGTGATTTTTCAACCCTGAGACATTCAACTCAGCTAGAGAGGTGTGTGTGTGCGTGTGTGTGTGTGTGTGTGTGTTTTACGCAGATGTCTAGTCCCCTTCCTTATTTAATTGGTCTAATGGGGGATCCATGCATCAGCCTTTTTTAACCACTTCCCAGGTGATTCTAATACGAGGCTAGTGTGAGAACCACGGGGCAGAGGGATTGCAGTGTTTCCAGGGGGTTCCAAGTAGCAGGCAGAGCCTCAGACACATCTGCTTTACATTCCCATTGTTAAAAACTAATCACTCTTAGCAGAAGGGAAATTCCACCCACAATAGCAGTAGATGCTGTGTACTTTGGTCTGTCTTCTCTATCCCTCATAGAACCTTCCCCAAGCAAGCAAGAGTCCTAGAAAGCTACCGAATTCTTGCTAAACCAGCGCCATTTTAAACTTAAAGTTGACATCGCCACATCAGAACTTACACTAATAATCTATGTACTGCCACGTAAGGGAATGTATTTCAATGCCAAGCTCTTCTGGTTCTATAACATATTCATCGGCAAAGCTACATCTTAGGGTAGTAGAGAAACTAGAGTCAATATGTTCCTGAATATTAATCTTTCTCCAGCATTCCTAAAACTCTGCCTCTCTATGAAGCTTAAAAGAGCTATATCCCGCCAGGCACAGTGGCTCATGCCTGTAACCCCAGCACTTTGGGAGGCCAAGGTGGGCAGATCACCTGAGGTCAGGAATTCAACACCAGCCTGGACAACACGGTGAAAGCCTGTGTCTACTAAACATACAAAAATTAGCCAGGCATGGTGGTGCATGCCTGTAA